TCTTTATCAGTCTCTTAAATGTATACAGTGATCTGACATTTTTAACGTTATCATCCAAACCATTCCACAATCCTATTCCCTGAATTATTGTGGATCGTTCCTTCAAACTAGTCCTTAAATAAGGCTTCACAAACTTCGCAATTCCTTTAAGAATATATGCACTCTCTCTTTTAACAAAATTCGTTTGAATATTAACAGGCAACATGCCTTTATGTGCCCTATACATAAGCAACAAAATGTTATGATTAACCAAATCATAGAATTTCAGAATTTTCAGTTGATAAAAGTATTCGACGGATATCTATTGTATTTTTCATAATAATTCGTACAGCTCTTTTCTGTAAAATGAACAAAGGATTAGTTATAGTTTTACACGTGTTACCCCAGACTTCAATACAGTAAACCAAATAAGGAACAACTATTACATTATACAACATAAACATTGCTTTATCAATGAATAACTCTTTTACTTTATACAGAATTGCTATCGATTTAGATATTTTTATTCTCAAATTGTTTAAGTGAGGTTTCCATTTTAATTTCTCATCAATAATAACACCCAAAAATTTCACCTCACTAACTCTGCAAATTTCAGTTCCATCTACCAAAAATGGAGCGTGAACATCTGTTTTTCTGTTACTGTGTATCATGTAATAGGTTTTATCCAGATTTAATGATAACTTATTTAGAAGAAACCAATTTTGGTGTTTCACAAATTCTGACCGTATTACCTCCAGCATTTGTTCCGTATCATCAGCCTTACAAATAAATGTTGTGTCATCTGCAAATAAAATGCATCTAAAAAAGTTTGACACATTAACCAAGTCATTCGCATACAAATTAAATAACCTGGGTCCAAGTACAGAGCCCTGAGGCACTCCACATGTGATATTACTAAATTTAGATCTTATGTCATGTATTTGAACAAATTGTTTTCTATCTTCCAAATAACTATTTACCCAATTTAATGCTGTCCCTCTAATACCATATTTATGTAGTTTCTCAAGAAGAATTCCATGATCTATAGTATCAAATGGCTTCCTTAAATCAACATAAATACTAATACAACTCTTCTTTTGATCAACTGTATTTGTTATTATATTGTATTTGTATTTTGTTTGCAAGGCTTGGGCCAACATTTACAAAATAATTATTAAACTCATTTACAATCACATTTTGGTCATGGATATTATTACCATCCTTTACAAAATATTGTGGAATACTTGATTTGGATTCATGATTTTTTAGAACGCTATTTGCCATGTTGTTCTCATATTACCATTACTTTTGTCTAATAAATTACTATAATATTCCTTCTTATGTTTTCTTATGATCCAAACCAGTTTATTTTTTATACTTTTTGTATCTTTCTTCTGCTTCTTTTGTTTTCAATTTCAAGAAGCACGAGTACAAATTGTTCTTTTTTTTTTTTTTTTTTTAACAAGCGTTTTCAACCCATTTGTCATCCATGGTTTATTAACAGTATTTCGTTTTGTATAATTTTTTTGCACACATTGTTTTTCGTACAATGTTACCAATGTATTCATAAATACATCATATGCTACGTTAACATCATCAACATACACCGTCTTCCAATTTTGCTTCTGTAAATCGTATATTAGATTATTCAAAGCCTTTTTTGAGGTATTTATTATTTTTCTCTTGTATCTCCTTTTATATGGCATTGATGTTTACCATAAATTGTGAAAACTGGTAAGTGGTCACTTACGTCAGTAATCAAAATTCCTCCCATTATCTCTGTATTAGTTATGTTTGTAAAGATATTATCAATTATAGTGGCACTATGAGTGGTGATTCTTGTCGGTTTAGATTTTAATGGATACAGATTTAAACTATTCGTTGAATTAATGAATGTATTGATGTTATTTGAGTCTGTATTTTTATATAAGTTGATATTGAAGTCTCCACATAAAAACACAGTTTTATTAATACTCCCCTCCAGCATCTCCATCTGATCGTTGAATAATTTTATATTTGACTCAGGTGATCGATACACACAACTTATCATTATATTTTTTGAATTCGTGTTTATTATTTCAATTGTAATCATCTCCATAAGATTTTCTACTATAAGTGACATTTTGTCAATTTTTTTTACGTTATTTCTTTATTTATAAATAGAGCTACTCCACCATCTCGTTTATTTTTTCTGTTCATATAATAAAGTTCATACCCTTCATTGTTAACACTGTTTATATTTTCACCATTAGACCATGTTTCTGAGACAGCTACTGAATGTTCTGTGTAATCGTTTTAAATAATCTGTTATATTTGATAAATTTGCACTTAAACTTCTACTATTAATATGAATAATTGAAAGGTCATCTATTGTCCTGTTGTTATTGTTAAATTGCTCTTCGTTACAATATTCACATTCTTTGATTACTGGAAAGAAATTTGAACAAAACTGATCATCTACATTGTATATTTTAAGTTCAGAGTCTTCGAGTGTATTCATGTCTTAGTGTTTGTATTCATTTACATCCATATTTTATTAACTGCATATGTACCAAATTGTTTCAGTTTACTTTTCTATTTATTCCCTAACGAATTCATCTAAATTTCTCTAAATCCTTCAGTTCTTTTATCATTTTAGCTTGTGATCCTTCATTAACCGTAACCCAGATGTTTCCATTTGTTGTCCATGTTGCCACTATTTTTTTTTTTTTTGTTTGTTTG